TTTTCTTTTTTTTAAATTATGAAGCCCACATAGTCCACTTCATCATGTATATGCCAATTTTAGTGCTGATTTTTTTTTTAAATTTTGATACATGTTATATTACAGGGGTTATTCAATGTATAAAAATATCACCCATGGCCACTGTACGCTACTGTACTCTGCTACCATAATAAGGAGATTATGCATTTCCTTTAGTTACGTTCATTTCACGTGCTTGCTTTCATATACCATAGTTACACGTGTGAGGACCTCAAGCAGTAACTCAGATATTTCTTTTATGAAGTGACCAACACAATACTTAATGCTAAATAGAAACATGCCATGTCTATTGACTGGTTACATATAGAAACATGCCATGCCTATTTACTGGTTACATATATAAACAGGCCTATTTACTGGTTTCATATAGAACCATGCCTATTTACTGGTATGCCATGCCTATTTACTGGTTTCATATAGAAACATGCCTATTTACTGGTTACATATAGAAACATGCCTATTTACTGGTTACAAATAGAAACATGCCATGCCTATTGACTGGTTACATATAGAAACATGCCTATTAACTGGTTTCATATAGAAACATGCCATGCCTATTTACTGGTTACATATAGAAACATTCCATGCCTATTTACTGCTTATATATAGAAACATGCCATGCATATTTACTGGTTACATATAGAAACATGCCTATTTACTGGTTACAAATAGAAACGTGCCATGCCTATTGACTGGTTACATATAGAAACATGCCTATTGACTGGTTACATATAGAAACATGCCATGCCTATTGACTGGTTACATATAGAAGCATGCCTATTGACTGGTTACATATAGAAACATGCCATGCCTATTGACTGGTTACATATAAAAACATGCCATGCATATTTACTGGTTACATATAGAAACATGCCTATTGACTGGTTACATATAGAAGCATGCCTATTTACTGGTTACATATAGAAACATGCCATGCCTATTTACTGGTTATATATAGAAACATGTCATGCCTATTTACTGGTATGCCATGCCTATTTACTGGTTACATATAGAAACATGCCATGCCTATTTGCTGGTTATATATAGAAACGTGCCATGCATATTTACTGGTATGCCATGCCTATATACTGGT